TATAAAACTAAATACAAGTTCATTATCAATATTTTCTGAACCTGATGTTCTAGTAGGTCTTTTAATCAGGACAGAAATATGAGAGGGAACTAAAATTTATGCTTAATTTGTACACTGAAAGGCCACAAATAGCATTGTGTAGATGTATTCACTTAGGTTGTTTACTTTCTACTTATTGAAGATAATTCTAATCTGTATGATTTTTAACTCATTTTCTTACATTTAACCTTAGTTGTGGCTTCTTAAAACAGATGCATATCTCAGTGGTATCAAATGTAAAAGTAGATCCATATTTAATGTACTAAAATTTGATATTGTATGTTTAATAATGATTACGATCTTTAGTATCAAGTTACTGTGAATATGTCTAAGAAAAAATAATCTTTTATAAGAACAGAATTTTGAATGTTGTGGTAACAACTGAGAACTGGTTTAATATTAATATCAGAAAATCCAGCAGTATAATTTATATTACTAGATTTTTTGGTTTGGTGAATGTTTTTAATATTTTAATGTTGTGCTTTGTGTAATTTTTATGAAATAACTTTGCCTTTAAACTATATTCAAATATATTAAATAATTGGCTTTTATTCAAATATTCTAAATTTGTAATTAATCTATTTTAGAAAAATATAAAAGACATTCAAATATCTGTGACTTGATTTTTAAAATTGTTGCACGACACTGTATGTGCAACTGCTTATATAGTGGAATCTGGTTTCTACGAAATCATTTTCCCCATCATCCAGCATAGGGATTTACTTGTTAAATCTAAATCAGAGCTACCTTGGAAAGATAATAAACACACTGAAATAACCTTGAATACATGTTAAATCAAGCTAGTTAACTTGAATTCATTGAACTGCTCAACTCAAATGGGGTTTTGATACAGTATTTTCATAAACTCTCCAGAATTTTAATTTAAGTAATATAATTAACATTCATCTAGCAAATAAACTAATCAGAAACTTTTGGTGCAGGAACCATATATAATTAAAAATGAACATGTGATGGTGGATGGGTTGTGGTGACTTCCAGGCAGTATATGTGACCTAGATATAACTGCCATTTGAATAATAAATAAATAGATTTTTGATAAATTAATTTAAAAAACAATTATAGTCTGATTCTATGTAAAAATTCTAACCTTTGTGGCAAAATTTTAAAAATATAGCAATCCTAGAATTGTTTTTTTTTTTGTGATAAATAAAAACAACAGATTGATTCTTGGTGAGAAATATTGCATTTAAAAAAATCCTTAGGAGTGAATGGATCACCCATTCAAGAAAGCATTTCTTCATAGCTTATTTAACCATTCAGTTAAGAGTTTTTGAGTTTCTGGACTACATCCAGAGGTTTACATTGACACAATGATTCTATGTAATAAGACTCATGGAAATGTTATATTGATAGTTTATTGTGGGTCACTGATAAACCAATGTGCAAAATCTTGATTTTTAGCCAAGTCTTCATAACTCAAAATTTTTTAATTTCAAGTCCCAATACTTTAATATTGGTTAAGGACATTCACAAAAAATTTACTTCTATTCAATAATTATAATTATATGTACAGTACATGTAATATTTTGTATTTTCAGAAATCCCAATGCATTTTTAATTGTTCTTTTTATGTATGACCATTTATTGACCTTAATATATAAGTTCTCCAAACAAATTCAAACAGAGAATTTGTTTGGAGAAATTAACAATTTTATTATTATAATTTTTGCTATAAGTAGTAGAACAAATTGTAGCAATATATTTATTTATTATAAAATATTTTATTTATATTTTGAAAGTAAGTAATATATTATTTTTCCTTAATAAATATATTTTTAAAATTATTATGCAAGTTTAATGTTAAAATTTTATATTTTACAATAACTTGAAGTAATTCAAAAAACAAAGACCCAAAAAGAAAAGCTGTGCTTAGTCTTAGATAAGAATGAATATATAACTTTTACTTGGAAACATTCTCATATGCTAATAAAATTATTTAAACTCAAATGACCAATATTAACAAAAGACATAACTCCTGGAAATGCCAACTACAATTTTAATCAAAGTATCTAGTTTTAAATATTCGTACTTTATAAGTGATTGAGATAGCAGTAATTATTAATGATACAAATACAAACTTTTAGTAATAATTATTGAAATATTACATGATACTCAGACTTTCAAGACAGCATTGGCAAATTGTTACACATTTCATTTCAGATCTTATCAGATATACAGAACTTATCCAACAACATGCAAATTTAAAACTCCTGATACAGTATTTATAAAAATGTAAACTTCTATTTAACTGCAGAATTTTTTGTCTTCTGAACTGCAAATTAACAATTACTTTAAAGTTGAATATCAACATAAGTTACACTCATGTCCAAAATGTAGGCATAATCATTCATTTGACATATATCTCAGGAACTACTGACCAGAACAGCATGAAACAACATACAAGCAGAACATTGTGTTCTTCATAAAACAATACAATTTGCAAAATCTAGCAATAAGTTGCATAAGTTTCCAGGCTGTTACAAGATTTTATTTTAAAAAACTAACTTTTATAGTATTAAGCATAATAAATAAAATTGTGTGTGGCACCATTTGTTATGAGATTTTGTTATAAAAAACTTTTTCTATTTTTAATTTCTATAAAATTGCAAAAAGCTTAATGTTGAGGGTAGATGTGAGTTTCAAAAAAAAAAAACTGTAACTGTGATTTCTTTATTATTCAATTCTTTTTAACTTTTTACACTTCTCACGCGTGATTAGTCTAACGTTTCTTTATTTTTTAATTTCTNTAAATTTGTAATTAATCTATTTTAGAAAAATATAAAAGACATTCAAATATCTGTGACTTGATTTTTAAAATTGTTGCACGACACTGTATGTGCAACTGCTTATATAGTGGAATCTGGTTTCTACGAAATCATTTTCCCCATCATCCAGCATAGGGATTTACTTGTTAAATCTAAATCAGAGCTACCTTGGAAAGATAATAAACACACTGAAATAACCTTGAATACATGTTAAATCAAGCTAGTTAACTTGAATTCATTGAACTGCTCAACTCAAATGGGGTTTTGATACAGTATTTTCATAAACTCTCCAGAATTTTAATTTAAGTAATATAATTAACATTCATCTAGCAAATAAACTAATCAGAAACTTTTGGTGCAGGAACCATATATAATTAAAAATGAACATGTGATGGTGGATGGGTTGTGGTGACTTCNCGTGGATCAATGGACAAATATCATTCATTAGTTTCTTTTATATTTGCAAGATAAGCTAGAGGTCTCAAATTTTCTGTTGTTTAGGGCCTACTCAGGGATTAGGAAAAGGGCAACCGAGACAAAAAGAGGGAATTTTTCCTATTGTCCCAAGTGTCCGATTCATGGGCACCTGTGACTGAGTGTCTGGCAAAAAGATCATTCACCCAAAGCCATCTGTATACAATTTGTCATAAAATCCTAACACAGCTGGCCATAGACAATATTTTAGAATACATGATAATGACTACTAAAAATAGTTGAAAACATTAGTTTTTTCATTATATACTATTCCTTTTGCTGAATTTTTGTTTTTGAAGAGCTGTTTATCAGACATTCTTCTATTACAACACACTGTTAACATCAAATAGCATTCTTGTTGAAGGATGTCCACTTTCCCCCACTGGTTGACATTCAATATCTGTTTGAAATTTGATCCAAAATCTGAATATGATGCTGTGCAGCACAGAGCCCTTGACACATCTCCGTGACTGATCTCCTTCAATAATTTTCCCCATTCCTTATTTTCTATATATCATATTGTAATGAATAAAACATTGTATCTACTTATATGGTAAGCAGATTCAAGCAAGCAATTGCTTTGATGAATTTAGATGGAGAAACTAGATTATCATAAACCAGTGGTTCCCAAAGTGGGTGCTACCACCTACATTTGTGGTAAATCTATGGAGGGTGAAAAGAAGCAGGAGACACTGTAGGCATGGTACTGAATGGTGACTATAGGTGAGGTTTGGGGTCACTGATAACCGTTCCCATTCCTTTCCTTAAAAAGGGTAAAAAGAAACATTGCATTTAATGGTTTCCAGATGTGGAAAACAATGTATGCCAGGACACAAAGTATGAGGTTCATTTTTCACACAAGAAATGGGTTGGGGTCGTTGTGTATAAGTTTATGAAACCAAGGGGACGGTGGCTCGAGAAAGTTTGGGAATCGCTGTCATAAACGATAAACGAATCGCAGAAGCTAAAATGCTATACGACCCCTCGCGTCATCGAAAAGCGAAGCTGGCTGATGAAGATCGAAACTGAAACCTGAGACGTAAATCAAAAAATGGTGCTAAAAATGTTTAGCACCATTCACCGCAGGTATGGACAAAACGGGGAACGCACAACATGGCGATAATTTTATCCCAAAATGAGAATGTGTCCGTTTAAATGAGGACTTGTGGTAATTTACCCTAGTTAGGTATGGATTTAAGATTTTGAAAATTTTAAATATTTTGTCATATAAACAGTATACGATTTTATATACTTTTTAAAATAGATTTTACCTAGAGGATTGTTATTGAAAATTAAAATAACCACATAAGACTTTTATAAATTTTTTCAACTTGTCATAGACAGCTCTGATCGTGATAAGATGAGGAAATTAATACTTTTAATTGCATAATTAACCGACAGATGGCAGTACGCGAAATAAACAATTGCGTTTAGGGTGTCCGGTCAATATCAGTGACAGGTACCACAATATGGCGACCAGGCGGTGCTGAATACCGCTCTCAATTTATCAGGAATAAATTTGGAAAAAATGCAACCTCTTCCAAAGAAGGTAGGAACGAATGAAAAATATGCTGGTGTTTATTTCCTTTAATTGAAAAATACGATTTTATGTATATGTTTAATCTAGTTCTATAGTAGCTCTATAGTATACAATATAAAAGAATTAAATTAATCATTTAATGTTTTTTTTTATATTTTTAGGGTAAAGCATCTAGTAGTCTAAGAAATATACATAATGAACAACTTTCCAAGTTACAGGCGAAACACCAACAGGATGTGGATTTTGGAGATTTGCAAAAAATTGAGGGTCAAATTTGACCCTCAGCTTTTTGCATTTTTCCAATATTTTCCTTTGTTATATATAACAGTCTGGAAAGTTAAAATTTAATTCAAATTACGTCATCTAAAGTAAGAAAAGGTACTACTAAGCATTGCTGTAAATCTTTTTGTACAGAAAACAATTACTATGGCATGTTGTTGCTTCCTGCATGTACACAGTGCATAATGATCGCTGGTTATAAATTTGTTTCTCAGCTCTGTTGGGAGCAAAGTCTATTTCTGAAGCTTCTGGTGGGTTCTTGGTGGAGGCTGACGATGCAAGTCATTTCTCTAGAGCATCACACATTATGGGATTTAGGCCCAGAAATCTTGCAAGCCATTTCACGTGACAAATAAATTCACTGTCAAGAAAGTCATTGACAAGTGTGTGGTCATTATTATCTATGAAAATGAAATATCATCCATAACTCTTTGGAAAAGTCTCATGGGATTTCATAACCTCGTTTCTGTACTTCCTTGCAAAAATATAGAGCTCAGTGTGACCATTAAATATAATGAAATCCCATAATATGATACCACTTACAAACTAGTCTTTTTTCACAGTTTTCATGGGATTGTATTAGATTTCTTGCTCTATCCAGATTCTAATCTGACCAGAATCATTCTGTTGACTATATCTGGACTCATAAGGAACAGAACATTGTTCCATTTATTCAAAGTCCACTGTAAATGTTCTTGACACCATCTTAAAAGGGCTCTTCATGTATCAATGGAATGCAATGTATTGGATGCAGTGGTGTCCACTAACTGGCACAAGCTATAAAAAAGGGCATCATACATTATGCAAGGAGCTTCACATTATGATTCAATGTCAGATCTGTGCTCCTACAAAGCAGCACTGGTTGCACTCATGACTAACTTGGCCTTGAAAACAAGAAATGGGAGTTTTGGTTAACATATGAAGTTGCGTGGATCAATGGACAAATATCATTCATTAGTTTCTTTTATATTTGCAAGATAAGCTAGAGGTCTCAAATTTTCTGTTGTTTAGGGCCTACTCAGGGATTAGGAAAAGGGCAACCGAGACAAAAAGAGGGAATTTTTCCTATTGTCCCAAGTGTCCGATTCATGGGCACCTGTGACTGAGTGTCTGGCAAAAAGATCATTCACCCAAAGCCATCTGTATACAATTTGTCATAAAATCCTAACACAGCTGGCCATAGACAATATTTTAGAATACATGATAATGACTACTAAAAATAGTTGAAAACATTAGTTTTTTCATTATATACTATTCCTTTTGCTGAATTTTTGTTTTTGAAGAGCTGTTTATCAGACATTCTTCTATTACAACACACTGTTAACATCAAATAGCATTCTTGTTGAAGGATGTCCACTTTCCCCCACTGGTTGACATTCAATATCTGTTTGAAATTTGATCCAAAATCTGAATATGATGCTGTGCAGCACAGAGCCCTTGACACATCTCCGTGACTGATCTCCTTCAANATTTTGTTAGAAAGATTCTTTTGCGATACTTTCTTGTACAAAATTGAAATAACTTTTAAATTTAAAACAAGTATATATATATTTGTATATATGTAATGTATGTATCATTATATACGTATATATTTGTATATGACTAATGTGTAACAATTGGTTATTGGTTTATAATTAGTTTTATAATTTTTTTTCTAAACTTGATTATAGATTATAAACTATAAATTTTTAATGAAGTTAATGCAAGAGGAATTTTCATGACATACTAGTACAAATTTTTTGATTATCTCGAAGAAATTTTGTTTGAGAATTGTATTGATTTAGAATTTTTCGTCAGAATACATTCTGTGGACATTAATAATTTTTAGATGGAGGAATTTAATTTTATATTACTTTCTAATATTCTTTCAATAGATATAATTCCAATATCCAGCAGTGAAATAATTTTAGAACATCACCTAATCTAACAAATGAGGTCTGTGTAATCAGATGAAATTTAATTTTTATAATTTATATACTTGTTCTTCAAGATTATTTTTCTGGTAAATGCTAATTTTTTCTCAATTCTAATGACAAATTAGTTTCTTATTACATTAAACAGTTTTCTATAATCAACAGAAAGTTTGGATCAGAGACGACATATTTCCGATCTCTGTTCTCTCTTGATTACTTAATCAAATAAAAATTATACGGTATATATTCTAATAAGACGATAGGAAAAAATACATAATTATTTATTTATTTAAACTAGAAGCGGTGTTTTATTTCTTAAATATCTGATTTAATCTTAAGTTAAAACAATTGAAAACTGCAGATGGTAAAGACAAAAGGTGAATTTAGAACTAAAATATTTCTACATGTAAAAGTTACTTTATTTATTGGAATTATAAACGCAATTCCTAGGCAATTTGATATGAACTTTGACATTTTTTATGCTACGCAAAATCGTTTGAGATACGTGTTTAACTTTCGTAAAATGAATCGATTTTCTGACAATTTTTTAAAAACAAAAATATATGCTAATATATATTATTGTTGGTTATTAATTGAGTTAAATTGCTAAAAACGTATGTACATTTATATACATTATTTATCTAAATACTGTACTGTGAATATATCATACTATAGAAATTTGAAACATTTATTGTAGAAAAATAGTAATTATTGAAACTATGTTGGTTGTAATAAACATCATAACGAATTTTTTAATTATTTCTTGTTAATTTATGTCGAAAGATTATGAATTAAAAATGATTTTATGACATTTATTTCAATGACATATTATTTTGTTAGAAAGATTCTTTTGCGATACTTTCTTGTACAAAATTGAAATAACTTTTAAATTTAAAACAAGTATATATATATTTGTATATATGTATATAATATGTGTACTGTACATTACAGTATATACATACAGTGGCGTGTTTGAGCCGGCCCACACAGGCTCGCGAATCCGCTTGTTATAATTTTTAAAATTCAGTGAGCCGGTTGTTAAAATTCTTGGTGAAGGATAAACAGTGTTATACATGTTAAAAGCCATGATTTCTATGTACATTTTTGAAAACAAAAATGCGATCTCATTCAGAAAGCATTCTGAGTTAGAACTTTACGAAACAACCACACATTTAATATTTTTACATATCGTTACGAAGTTAAATTGGTAAAATTTTTCTTAGTCGTTTCCTCTTGAATGAAGAAAAAATATTTAAACAAATGAATTCCAGTGTAAGTTTGCTCATTGTTGATTGGTTGAAGTACTTGATTTATTAAATGAATCCATTTGGCCCTACGAAGAATTAACTTAACCGTTGATGGAAGGTGAAATAAAATTAGATCGATTAAAATAAAATTTTGAAATTCAAAATAAATATAAATGATTTCAGAGAATTTTAGATAATAATATAGAGAGAACAATTGCACCAATTCCTGAAACAAGAGAAAAACTAGAAAAATAATATCGTAGCAATTAGTAGCACAGAAAGCTGAGACGTTTTTAGTTTAATGGATGTAGTATTCTATATACAAAAATAAGAAACGTTTTAACTGTTGAGCATATAGACTATCTGAATTTATTACAATCAGTTTATTAGGAAAAGAATTAAAAGATAGGGACACTATACCTTTTGCAAAATCGTGGCTAAATACAAACCATAGCTTAGCCACAGATACTAGAATACGTCATAAATCAGAAAAAACTTTTAGTGTAAATTGCTGTTTGGAGCTTATTATATATTTTTATTGAACTTTAAAGTTAGAAGTAGAAGTTGTTTGTGAAATTTTTAAGTAAAATTTTATTTATACATGAAAATATGCTAAATAAAAAATAAGCATTGAATTTTTCATGTTTTTTGTTATGAAAATTTCTTTTAAAAGGGATTCCAAAACATTTTTAACGTATAGGTAAGTACGTAAAAAATACTTTAAAAGTGATTTTTGGAAATTCTACACTCAGTTTTCTTTCTTCCTTTCACTCTCTCCCTGCGCCCCTGAAGCGAGTCGATTGTTAAAAATTTGCCAACACACAACTGTGTATGTGTTATATACTTGTTCTTCAAGCTCATTTTTCAATATATATATACAATATATTTGTATATATGTAATGTATGTATCATTATATACGTATATATTTGTATATGACTAATGTGTCTATACTGTATATTTTCTAGACGATATTTAAATACTTACATTGTTCTTATGTCTTATTATTATTATTATTATTGTTCTCAAAGCAATTTGTAGATCATTATAAAGCTTAAAAATGGATTTGTTATTGAGAATACATTTTGTGATAAAAAATTGGATATCTACCAAATCTAGAAAAGTTTACCAGCTATATGTAAAAAAAAAAACGGCAACTGGTTGCTTAACTTTTCTGGCAATGTTTGCTGGCACCATCTGTTATGATATTTTATTGTAAAAACTTTTTATATTTTTAATTATTATAAAATGGCAAAAACTTAATTTTGAGGGTAGGGACGTTAAAATTGTAAATGCTAATAACAAGTAAAATCGTCATTAATTTCAACTCTACTCGGAATATGACACGAACCCCTTTATCTTTATCTCTCCACCCCCGTCGACCTTTAACTACCAAAATTTAATAGCATCAATCCCCTAATACATAAATCTTTCTGCAAAATGTCAGAAATTTTCGACAAAAAACAGAGGAGTTATTAAGCTACAAAGAGGGTGAACAAAATCGTGCTTCCCTACATATACTCACACAAATAAACACTAACATCCATACATACATATAGGAAAAACCCAAACTTTTTTTTGCATTTCTCGGTTTTTTCGCTGCTTTTTGGACTCGGGCAACCTTGAAACAGGTTCTCTGAGTCCAAAAATATAAACGATTTACCAAAGCGAAAATAATTATATATATTTTATTTGAAACAAAATATTAAATGAAAACTTTCATTAGATATTGACAAAGACTAATAGTTATCTGGAAAGAGATCAGATATCACTAAGTATTATTCTACACGAAATATACACTTGACATA